TATTAACCCTTGCAATTGTGCATGTTACTACCCAACACTCATACACAAAAGAGTTAACTGCTTGTTTTTGCCTAGGGCCAAAAAGAAAAGTTATACTTACCCATCCCTCAAAGTCGGCAGCGCTCCCTCCAGCCTCTCTCCCCCTCTGCTGCATCGGGTGAGTATAACTTTTTTTTGTTTTTTACCCTGGGGAAAAATGAGCAGTTAACCCTTGCGGTAGGATGGTAGCCCAACTCCAAGAGTTGATCAAATTTCTGCTCTAAATATTACAGCAGTGGCAACCTCCATATTTCTCTCCGTACTAATTTATTTTAATGCCCAACTCTAAATGCACTCCCCCCTACATACATAGCATTTATTCTGAGGTTTTTGCTCCAATCCTGTGATGTCATTGGTCTTCTTCCTCTGGTAGTGAGCGGGTCTTGAATGCTGCAGAAAATGGTGGTGCCAGTCTCCGCAGCATTGCCCTTAGAGCTTGGCCCTGAAGGAGTGTGTCCACAACCCCCTGGGCTCATAAGCAGTGGGTTGAATGACATGCAAGACAGGTGACCTCTAAATGCCAAGGCATATGCCTCAGCTATCCTATTTCCATCCTAACAGGTAAAAATACATAAACTACATAAGTCATGGCTGTCAACATTTTTTACATATTTTCCTCAGATACGTGTGCGGTCAGACAGTTTCAGAGCCTGCAGCTTTCAGGTGCATTCCGCTTGCATTCCAGATCGGTCTGAAAAGCTTCTAAAAATCATTTACATTTTAAAAAGAGATGCATTTATGTGCATTTGATGTCCTAAACTGCATCTGGCGTCCTTGGAGCTGCTTTTGCATTTCCATTGACTTGTATAGGCAGAGAAGCAAGTTCAAAAGGAAAAACAAAAAACGTTGATACATGCCCTTACATTAAGCAGAACTGAAGCTGCAGTTGCCCTAATCTGCAGGTATGCACATTCTGCTTGCACATTATTGCAGAATTAGGCCTTGGGGCTTTGATGTCCAGCTGCAAATGTTTGTAGCAGGAAGCACAGGAGGACCCGGACAGCTGTGACCACTCAGCCTGTACAAAGCAATGACAGGCTAACAGGAGCCACAGCTGCCTGCCGCTTTTCAGCACATCCAGCAGTTACCTGTAGCTTGGGACAGATGACTGGCCCTGAAAACAATCTGTCTGCATCCAGGGTTGGAGTTATGTCCCTAACCGCAGGCAACCATTCCATGAGCAGATACATGTGGATAGGGGCAGACAGCTGCAGCACCTGTCAGCATGTCCTTGCTTTGTATAGGCTCAGCGGCCACAGTTGTCCACAACCAACTGGGCTTCTTGCTATCTTACCATGTGAATGAGGCCTAACCTTCTATTCTTCTCTGCATCAGTGCTTCGCTCCCATCTTCTTCAGGACTTTTTCTCCCAGTCTGGTATTTTTCTTTCTTTCTTTACACATCACAAAGCAATTGATGATATCCAATGCAATGGAGTTACATTGTCCCAACACACTGCTCTTACTGCTGGCATACTACATATGCCAAGGTTGAACACTGTACTGTGCATGCACCGCACTCGGTGTACAATTTTTTAAAAAAATGTCAGTAGTAATCACAGCAGTTTCTGTTATTCTGATTCCCCCTATAACAGTTTTATTTTGTTTAGTTTGTCCAGCCAGTAGACCCCTTGTTTTCTCACTTCCTGTAATAGGATGATTTGTTCTGCAGTGAAGTCGGACAGCAGCCTCTTAATCCTGTGGACAGGGGAACTTTAGATGGACATGTCACTTCAGATAAAACTTTACGGAAGCAACTAACAGATTAAAAGCCAGATAGAAGCCTCCATCTATAGGGACCTTGTCCACAGCAGTCTTAGATGAGAACTAGGGCAGGACTTGACAAATTTGCTTTGAATCTAGGAGCCAAGTAAAAAAAAAAAGTTAGAAGCCATGACATGTGTAGCGCAATCGTCGTTTTTGTACATAGGGGCACCCGACTTGTGTTTCTGTTAGTATGTGTACGTTGGCAGGGGCCTTAAAATATTATTTATTTTTTACTTAACATTGCTATCACATCGGGGGTGTAGATGACAGGTACTCCTAAAGATGACATTAGGGGTCACTCATAGAAGAATTTTTTCCACTTATAGCCCATAGCTATTTCAACAATAGATTTGGCTGGGGAATGACAGCTGGCTACTGCTGAATGTAAACACAGCAGGCAGTGGCTGGGAGGGAAGTGAAGTAAAAAGTAGCCACTCAGCAGAGGAGGGAACTGAAGTAAAAAGTTCTTTCAGGTCCTCATCTGCTGACTGACAGCAGGCAGAGGGCGGGTGCAATAGCCAGCCTGATATTGGTTACTGCAATTTAAAAACGCCAATAGCAGGCTGGCTATTGCTGCCAGCCACTGGCTGGGTAGGTAATTCGAAGAGGGTGGCGCAGCGGAGGCACAGGGGTTGACAGCGGTCTCTCCTCCTCCCTACTGGGCACCGGCTTCAGTGATCTGTGTCCCCTTTGATCCCTGCTGCCTCTGCTGATACAGGCGGGGGAGCAGTGGGGAATCGAAAGGGGACACAGACCGCAGCATGGGAAAAAGTCCAGGAGAAGCAGAGAAGATATCGGCGGCAGAAGTGGCAATTTATATGATCCTGAAGATGTCCAATATAAAAAAGAGCCAGAGCTAGAGGGCAAGGTCCCAGATAGCAAGGATAACTTGCCACAAACTTGTGGCAGGGTTGAATTGTAATTCTTGTTAACTTGCTGCACATATTCCTGGCAAGTTGTAGACTTGCAGAACACTCGCACTACAAGTTCTAGTTGACACTTTTTGAATTTGTAGCAAATTTGCTTGGCAAGTCTACAGCAAGAGTCCTGCAGGTCTTAGCAAGAGCTCAGCAAGTGTACAGCACTTTTGCAAAGCACGTTGATCTGGAGACTTGCAATGCAGACTTGCTGTAATTGTGCAACAAAATTGTGAAGCTTGGTACGTGTAGCAATAGTTTTGCAAGTCATTTTATAACTTTATATACTCAATTGCTTGCTATCTGGGGTCCTAGGATGATATAGGCAGACATGGTAACAATGTGTACAATCAGACCAGCATATGTCCACCCTGTCCATTAACATGTAATTTTGAGATGAATAAATAAGCAGCAAAAAAAAAATGAAAGCCCAACTCCAGCAACAGATTTGAGGAAGTTACAGCCATTGTTTAAACAATGTGGATAAAAGCTGACCGTAAGCACAACCGTTTTATGGTTTGTCCCAACCCCTATAACTGAAACCTTTCTAGGATAGTTTGACCTGTTAAAGGAAATGGAAATCTACTGGGAGAACCAACAGATAACAAAACGAAGTTATGTGGAATTCAGGAAAACAAAAACTGCAGTGTTAATGATACTGAAAGCTCTGCTTTAAAGTGACACCAATACAGTCACCCATGCAGGAAGAGGTGACAGTATCGTGGTAAAAGGCACCAACTGAACTCTGATACTCAACCCGCTTCTCAGTATGAACCCTCAATGGAACTTCCAGATATGGGTGACAACACTGTGCTTGTGTTAACCTATGTGGGAGCCTACCATCTTCATGATAGGAGGGAAGAGTGGAGTGACAGAGAGAAGAGCTCATTAGTCCTCTGCTTCTCTTTCACTATCCAGTAACGGGAGGAGGGGGGCGGTTATGGGGGAGAGGGGAGACCTGTAAGTCAAGATGAAGCTTTAGCACAGAAAGATCAGGTCTAGATAGGGCTGTGCTGTATGGCAGAGCTGTGTGAATCCCAGAACTGGATGAACAGTGGCTGAGGAGGTACAAATCCATTGGAAGGTAAAGCAGCTCATGTATATTAGCCTGGAGCTCAGCTTTACAGCTGCCTGGAGTTTTTCCTGTGATACATCTTTCACCATTTTTGTCATCAGCAGCAAAAGGCAACACAGAACACACAGCACACAGCACAGACAGCACATACCCGCTGCACAGAACATGCAGCACAACAGTCAACAGAACACACAGCGCAGCACAGACAGGACAGGCAGCACAGAACACGCAGCGCAGCACAGAAAGGTCAGGCAGCACAGCACAGACAAGACGACTGTACAGAACATGCTGCACAGCAGAGAACAGACAGGATAGGCAGCGCAGCAAAGCACAGACAGCACAGTCAGGACAGGCAGCAGAGAACACGCACCACGGCAAAGCACAGACAGGACAGGCAGCAGAGAACACGCAGCACGGCAAAGCACAGACAGGACAGGCAGCAGAGAACACGCAGCACGGCAAAGCACAGACAGGACAGGCACCAGGGAACACACAGCACAGCCAGGACAGGCAGCAGGGAACACACAGCACAGCCAGGACAGGCAGCAGGGAACACACACCACAGCCAGGACAGGCAGCACAGAACACGCAGCACAGCCAAGCAAAGCCAGGACAGGCAGCACAGCCAGCAGGACATACAGCACACCAGTCAATCCATGGAGGAAGCATGGTACTGAGGACTTCCTCCCCTGGCAGTGTTATAACGGGATTTGATATTTGATATTTATATTAAGTGTAAGAATAAATTTACAGGCGTACACATGTCCATGCATTTGTATACATATCACAGGTGCAGCCTTTTCGGCCAGATAACAGCAGCTTTAGTCAAAAGCTTCTCACAGGGGTATTCCACTTCATGACATGTTCTCTGAAATGGACAGAGGGCCAGGCCTGGCACATGGACAGGGGTGTGGAGGTCCATTTCCTGGGACAGTACACACTGCTTGTGGTCAGCCCTGAGAAGTCTGACAGACACATAGTACCTGTATGTCTCTGCCCTCCTAAGAGCACACAGAATGGATTCCTATGACAGAGGCTGAACAGGAGACTGCCATACAAAACATTGCTTGCCTGTCCTCTAAACACTTCATGTGTAGCCCCCTCAGAGGGGCACAGCTTCCTCAATGTGGGTGCTGCCCCTTATCCCCTCACTGAGAGCAGCGGCCAGCACACTTCCAGTACCCGCCTCCCCCGGGCACTTACTTCACCCTGGAGCCCATTGTCTCCGGTCCCCGGTGTCCGGTCTGCTCTCCCTCACTCATACAGCGCCATGGTCACCGAGCCGCGAGACAGCCGCACATGCTGCTGGGAGTTGTAGTCCAATGCAGGCGCTCGGCCTCACGGCTCTAAGCAAGACAGAACTATAGTTCCCAGAATGCACTGGGCGGCAACCAAGCCACGGCACAGCCCATGGCGCAGTGCGCAGGGAGAACGGGCCTGTCACTTTGTGGGAGGGGCCGACGCTAGCAAACGCTCAGCCACTCGAATAGGCGGGATTATGTTGGAATGTCAGCCAATGGGAGAGCAGGAGGGAGAATTAAAGTAGATGTGAAGCCTGACTGAATGACATTTAGCTTGCTGAAGCACCGTGTATCATGAAGAGATGCCATTAGCTAAGTTAATAAAGCTCAGACAGGATAAGGATCCTTCTTTTCCAAAACATTACAGTAAAGGCTAGTTCACGCCATGTCCCGATCAGGTCTGCAAAAGCGGTGCAGTGCGTTTTTTTTAACGCATATAAGTGCTTTTTTTTTTCCATATAAATGTTTTATTGTTTTATCACGTAGTACATCCAACAATACAAAACATCACAGTGTGTGGTGCGCAGTCCGTAATATCAATAGGATGACATGCATTAGTAGCAGCTAGTTACATAGTGGTACGTAGACAAGGGGTGATTACCGATTTCGGGGTATTCACATTGGCATGGTAGCAGGTCATCGGGAGGCAAAGGTCGTCGGGAAATATCGGATTAGTTATACGTAATGTTTTCATATAATTTGTATGTATAGCATATAAACACTCTAGGCTCCTACCCTAATATTAGGGTCAGTTAAACAATCGGCACTGAGGATGATAGGTTAGAAGGCTATCAGGGTGTTTTCCAAGTACCCTCATGAATTCCCCAGACCAAGTAGAACCGAAGGTGGCAGTAGGTAGGCTACTGCTAATGTAGTTTGTACCTAGCCGGTCAGAGCGGCGAGCAACGACACCACTTAACACAGACAGGACAACATAAGGTGGGGGGTGCACTCAGGTTCAGAAGGGGCTTTGTCAGGCTGCAGGGGGGTCAGAAGGGAGAGAGGAGGGAAGAGTAGGAAAAAGAGAGAGGGGGGAAAGAGGTGTCGGGTTGTATAGTGGCACTAGAGGGCGATATATATGGCAGTTATGGTAAATTGGTTAAATAACACATAGACGGCGAGGGGTGCCCAGGGCCAAGTATTTGTCCATCCATGGGGACCAGGTGTTTTCAAATTTGGTCATTCTATCGCTGAGTTGTGCCGTTCGTTTTTCATGGGCCATAACCCAATGGACATGATTTATGACACTGGTGAAACTTAGGGTGGAGGTCAGCCAGTTCTTCGCTATCTCCCTTTTGGCAGAGGTGCAAATATGCATTGAAAGGTTGAACTGTTTACGTGAGAGGCCTTCTGGTCTGCAGTTGAGAAGTGCAAAGCAAGGGTCCTTGGGTATTGGCACCGAGAACAGGGATGAGAGGATATTGAATATTAGCTCCCAAAAGTCAGAGACTAGTGGGCAGCTCCACCAAATGTTGAAAAAAGTGTTAATGTATTAATGTAGTTAGTCATTTGGAGATAGCGGAATATCTCTTTGTTTGGCAGCTTCGTATGTTCCTGCAGGTGCGGGAAGGGTTTCACGCCCGAGTCAGTCTGTAATTGCCAGAAGTGGGTGAGGTTGCGGATGGTCCAGGCCCTGAATCTCGACGGGTCAGTTAGTGCAGGGATGAAGGAAGGGTTGTCTAGAAGGACATAAGTGGTAAGTGCGGAGAAATTAGGCCGTATTGTACTTTAATAGAGTCCCACAGTCTGAGAGAATGAGAAGTTATGGGGTTTGAGATGGGGGGTCTGCGTTTAGGGGCTAGCAATAACAGGTTGGCTACTGATGCGGGCTTCACTAAGGTGTTTTCCAAGGCCACCCAAGCCGGAGTTTCGATTTCTGAATGGTATTTTACCAGTTGACCCACTTGTGCCGCTAAGAAATATTTAGACAGGTGGGGGACTGCCAGTCCTCCCTTAGATTTTGGTAGGTATGGCGTACGCCTGGGTATTCTAGGCTTTCTGTCTCCCCACATGAACGTGAAGATATGGGTTTGAAGCTTTCTAAAGGCGGTGGCAGGGACCGCTACTGGCAGGACCCTAAATAAGTATAGGATCTTGGGTAAGAGAGTCATCTTGACCGCTGCTATCCTACCTAGCCAGGATAAGTGGTATTGGGACCAGGTTTTCAACATGGCGATTAATTTCGTAATCATGTCAGGATAGTTTACTGAGTATAAAGATTGGTAGGAGCTCCCCAGTTTGATTCCCAAATACGGTAGGTGATCCTTTCTCCATGCATAAGGATATGCGTCTCGCAAGGAGTCAACTAACGCCGGAGGTAAAGAGATTTTTAGAGCTGTAGATTTGAAAGGGTTGATATATAGACCAGAGATTGAGGCAAAGTCCGACAGGAGCTTTGCAAGGTTAGGTAGAGACACTATGGAGTTCGTCACAAAGAGTAGTGCGTCATCCGCAAACATGCACATCTTATGTGAGGTTTTCTCATGTTCTATACCCGTGATGTCAGGCGATCGGAGAATTTTCTGGGCTAAGGGCTCCAACGCTAGGGCGAAAAGGAGGGGGGACAGTGGGCAACCCTGTCTGGTGCCCCTCAGGATCGGAAAGGGTTGGGAGCAAAAACCCGCATATTTTACGCGTGCGGTCAGATTGTTGTAGAGTGAGGACACCCATTTTATAAAGAAGGTTCCAAAACCCCAGTGTCGCAGTGTATGGAATAGGTAGGGCAAGGAGACGCTGTCAAATGCTTTTTGATATCTAGGGACAGGAGCATGGTTGGGATATTTTTAGTTCTGGCTATGTGGGTAAGGAGAGAGATTCTACGAATGTTGTCGCTAGCTTGCCTGGTAGGGATGAAGCCAACTTGGTCACTCGAGACCAAGTGACCTATCGCGCAGTTAAGTCTATTGGCCAACACTTTGGCCATTATTTTAACGTCTACATTAAGGAGGGATATCGGTCTGTAATTTGAGGGATTAGTGTGATCGGAGGAGGGCTTGGGTATCATACAGATCAGGGCTGTGAGGGATTCAGGGCCTAGGGATTCACCTTTGCGGAGAGAGTTGAATGTTGCGGTCAGTAGGTGGGCTAGGAGGTCTTTGAAGGCAATGTAATAGGCTGTTGTGAAACCGTCCACCCCTGGCCTCTTGCCCCGGGGCAGCGATTTGATCGCTTGTTGTACCTTTTGCTCCTTAATGGGCTCCTCAAAGGAGGCTTTTTGGGATGGCGTGAGGGAGGGAAGATCTAGGCCTGCAAAAAAGCGGTTGGCTTGGTCGGTAGAGAAAGAGTCTTAGGAGGCGTATAGGGTTGAAAGGTGCTGTTGGAAGACCTCCAGGATCTTGGTCGGGGTACTAGTATTGGTTCCCGCAGGGGTTCGTAGGCGAACAGGTTTGAACGTGGAGTCTAACCGCCTAAGTCTGGAGGCCAGAAGGGAGTCCGCTTTGTTGCTTTTGAGGTAGAATTTGTGGGCAGTGCAGTGGAGTTGTTTGGCAGCATGGTCCGTGAGCAGAAGGTTTAGGGCTTGGCGGGCCGATTCTAATGCTGTTTTATGGGCTGGGGAGGGGTCTGATGAAAAGGCTTGGGAGCTTTCATTAAAGTTCCTCTCAAGAGAGTGTAATTTACGCAACCTTTCCCGCTTGAGCTGGGAGGATAATTGAATTATCCGACCCCTTAGGACCGGCTTATGAGCCTCCCAAAGAGTAACGGGGGAAATGTCTGGCGTGCGGTTTATTTGAATGTAATCCACGAGGTAGGATTCTAGAAGGATCTTGTTGGCGGGGTCTGTGAGGAGGGAGTCGTTCAAGGTCCAGGTTGGAGTATTGAGAGTGGGGAGTAAGGCAGGAAGGACCATGGTGACAGCTGAATGGTCAGACCATGGGACCGGTAGGATGTGGGAGTGGAGGATGTGTGGTGTCAGTGTGGCAGAGGAAAAAATGTGGTCAATTCTGGAATGGACCGCGTGAGGGTGGGAGTAATGTGTGTAGTCGGTTTTGTTTGGATTGACTTCTCTCCAGCAATCAATGAGTGAGTAGGAGGACACCAGGTCCCTAAATGGCTTCACCATGTGCAAGCATGCGGAAGAGGCTTTGGATTTGTCTCGATGCGGGTACAGTACCATATTGGAATGTCAACCCATGATGACCACGCCCGTCGAGCAGGTATGTATTTTTTCCAGAGGTTCTCAAAAAAAGGCGAGCTGATCCACATTTGGGGCATAGTAGAAAACAAGTGTTATTTCTTGATCGTCCAGAAGGCCCGTGAGGATCAGGTAGCGACCCTGAGGATCACGGGTCTCCGAGTGACACGTAAAGTTAGCTGATCTGCGGAAGCCGATAAGGACACCCCTTCTTTTGCACAAGTCATTGGCCATATATATTTGAGGGAATTGGGCACTGAAGTATTTGGGGCATGATGATCTGGAAAAGTGGGTTTCCTGCAGAAAGATTACGTTTGCATGGGATGACTGGAAAAATCGAAAGGCTCGCGTCCTCTTGTTAGGGGAGTTGAGGCCTTGTACATTGAGGCTCAATAGTTTAAGGGACATAGGAAAATAAGTGGTGGTTGTTCTTATGGTACTCACCCAGTCCAGAAGTAGGGGGGCCCTTTGTCATGGTCGTATGTTCCAGTACATATCTCGACTCAGGAGTTGGTAGTTGGACCCAAGGAAGGAGAGAAGAGGGGGAAGAGACGGGAAGACAAAAAGGGGAGGGGGTGCACTAGACAAAACACACAAGACAACACAACATACACAAGAACGGATAATGGATAAATTCCACTACAAGCTCGGAACATTGGGTGGAAGGAGTCAATGCTCCTCGTGCCACCCAAGGTATCCAAGACATGGGGAGAACAGTGACGCACTCACCCAGGCAAAGTCATAAATAAACCATAATAAATTGGAAGTCCACCCGGACTCTGAACTCTACATGTGGGCAACAAGTCCAAAACAGTTTAGTCTGATAAGAGTATCCGGTGTAACAATCGGATGCAGGCAGTGACAAGAGGACAAGGGGGAGGCCACTAGGTGGAGTATTAG